CTCCCGTTGTTAGGTGCACATGTCTATAAACTGGAAATAATGAACCTCAATCACCAATAAATAACACGGAGTTGTAAGAACTACTAGGAGCGACATATTTGAAGTATTTACAAAATTTGAAGCGTTTAAAAACAATAATGTTCTTGAAACGCCGAAACTTTTCAAATTGTAAACATTTTTCTAAAAAAACTTGAGTTTTTTTTAAAATTCTCTAACATTTTGGAAAATCACATACATTTTTTGGAATCCATGATTTTTTTAAAGAAACATTTGTTGAGTTCTAAACAAATTTTGCAAATACTAGCATTTTTATTTTTTTCCAACACTTTCTGAAAAATGTGAACGCTTTTTGAATCTGTTTTTAATCCGAACCAAATTTTGAAACACCAATATTTTTCTGAAATCCCCGAACATTTATTCAATCTGTACTCATTTTTCAAAAATAGGACCATTTTAAGAAATTTCGACTCAAATTTAAAAACACAAACTTTTTTAAACTCTAAAAAAATTAAAACCAAAAATAAAGCAGAAAAGACAAAAAAACAAAACAAAACAAAAAGGAAATGGTCCTGAAAACCTTCTAGAAGGTTCGAAACACCGGTTGGCTCGTTGTTGTAAAGTCGTCCAACCCATCTCGTCAGTTTGTCAAACTGTCCGACTTAGGCTTTGTTTGGTGGCTACGGGGAGACAACCCAGGGCAGTAAACCCCGAGAGGGAAATTTCAACAACACATGGGCTTCCACGGGTGGAGTTCTCCTGTTTTGAATGGCCATTTGGTGGTCCAGTCAGGAGGGTGGGGTGGGGTGTGGTCCAGGCGAGGGGAGCCGCAGCTTTGCGAGGATGAGCTGCGAGTAGCAGCTTCGCGAGGGAGACGATATGAGGAGAATTTCCACAAGTGCACAAAGCATGGAACTTCTACCCGGGAAAAGAGGAGGGTTCGGGCCAGCCCGCCCTGTGGATCGGGTAATCCAAATGTGGCGCTGGTTCTCCCTAGCCAGAGATTCCACGTGGCTTTCAGGCACTAGAAAAAGGTAGGGATCCCTGGGGAAACCCTGCAACCAAATGAGCCCTTATAGGGAATTTCGTCAGCAAGGAACACCCTATTTCAGGGAATATCCTCCTCTTCGGCACATTTTGCGTCAAAGGGATGACCAAGCAAGCAACTAGGAGGGTTGACCCATTAGCTAGCGCTAGGATTTATGTATGGTTTCCTCCTGTTATAAAAAAGGTTCCTGAACCTTCTAGAAGGTTCCTGAACCTTTTACCTGTTGCTTTCTTTTTACTAGTTTTCTTGTTTCTTTTGTTTTTTATGTATCTTTCCCCTTCTTTACCTTTCATTTTTTGTTTATTTTTCCCATAAATTCACAATTTCAAAAAATGCTCAGAATCTTAAAAAAAGTAGAATTTTAAAAACTGTTCTCTGTTCCCACAAAATGATCATAATTCCAAATTTGTGTTCACTTTTTCAAAATTTGTTCGAAAATTGCTCCAAATTCAAAGAAAATTGTCATGTTTACAAAAAATGTTACTCTTTAAAAAATGTTCAATATCTTCAAGATTTGTTTGGAAGTTTTAGAAAATGTGGAATTTTTTAAAAAAACTCACGTTTTGACTTGTTTTACGTGTTTTCCCTAATAAAGTTCATAAATTTCAAAAAACTATCGGGATCTCACATTTTTATGTGTTTTTCAACTGTTTAATATATCTTATTTAAAAAAATGTATTTAAAAAATCAAACAATTCAGAAGGTGCAACTTTGCTACTGTGCATTCCCTACAATGCGTTTGCTGCAGTACATCGCTACAACCGCTAGTGGGTAGGCGCAGTTGGGACTCTGGTTCGCCCCGCTACTTTTGGACGCAGCAAGCGCCCTGTTTGAGGTTCCCTGCGTCAGATCGGCGCGCAACGCACAAGGGGTGCAAGCTGGACCGGCTCGTTTTTTAGTTTTTGTTTTTTTGAACACGGCTCGTTTGCACCACCTTCCTCTCCTTTATAAGCAGGGTATATATATACACGAGGGCTTGGCTTTTTATTTTTCTTTTGTTTAGTTACCGTTTTAGTTGGTTTTTCTAACGGTCTTGTATTGGGTTTCTTTATTCCAGTTTTCCTTTGCTTTGGTTCTTTATTTATTTTTTATTTCAACATTTTTTAAATCATGATATTTTTGGAATACATAAACATTATTGTAATCTGAGAAAATTTATTGAAATACACAACTATTTTTTTTTAGCATAAGAGAACCTTTCTCAACTTCTTGAACTTTTCGTATCCACAAACATTTTTATATCGATGAATATTTCTTGTGTACGGACACTTTTGAAAATTAGCCAAGTCTCATAGTTAACAGTTGCAGTGGAACTATATAGACTTCACTTAGGCTAGTTTATTGTACGGCAGGGCCATGCCTAAGGCTAGGTAATCCTCCTTTGAAATACTTTGGTATTTCTCCTAGATAGATCATTATACAAAAAGTATATAAGAGCACATGGAGCTATCTCATTATCTTGCCGTAAACATTATTATGGTGGACCATGAGAATATTTTTTAAAATTCATGACTAGAATACATGAACTTTTCTCAAAATATGAGAAACACTTAATCATACTTGATTCTAAATTCATTGATATTTGAATATTCACAAATATATTTTTTAAAGCACGAATGGTTTCCAAATTTAAAATATTTTAAATTCATCAATGTTATTAAAATTCACAATGAAAATTTATTTTTTTAGTATAATTTTTGTTTTGCAATTTCCATATTTTTAACCAATAAAAAATCTAGCAAATCATTTTTTTGCTACACCTGCTAAAAAACAAGAGAGAAAGGAAAATAAAGAAAATTGAGATGTGTAACGCTCGAACTGGACCGCCTACCCATGAGCTCTGCCTATGAATTTCAATGTGATGGTTGTCTAAACCATGAATGCCGATGGCAGATCATTTGGGGTAGCTGCAGTGGTCTTCAACCACAAACTAGGTTTGAATATTTTAATAGAGAAGCAAAATTGATACCACGTGAGTTAGCTTTTTTTCGAAGACTAGTCATGATGGGAGTAACTTAGCTAGTAACAAGCATACTTTAAGAAAATTTTGCTTACATGGCATGTAGTTAATGAGAAGTGGTAACATAATACATTAATATAACATAGCGCTTTTTAAGACAAGATGAGTCTACAATCTAATAAATGAAGTCCTCTATAACATTAGTACTATGGGGGTGTTTGTTTACAGGGATTTATTGATGTCGGAATTTAAAAAAGTCTCTTTTAGTTCCATCTAAACCAAACAGGAGGGACTTATAAGGACTTAAAGTGGGCATTTAGAATTTATGAAAGAAGACCCTCAATGAGAGTCTTTTTAAGACTTTTAGTTGTAACATGGTCTTTTAGTCCATGTTTAGTCTCAGGAACCAAATAGGTATAGACTTTTTAGGGACTAGCGACTTTTTAGTTGGGACTAAAAAAATCCTAAGACTTATGAACCAAATAGAATCTATATTACCTTACACTATAAAGATAGTAATTTAGGATAGTGTCATATGCATGACACTAGTATAAGTTACACCCTACTATGATCAGCCTAAAAAAACTACATGAGTTAGCTAGGTTGGTCAGATTTTCTACATGCACTACCTAGTTTGAAGAGGCTTCAGCGAGCCGACCCTCATTTGACCATTTTTATGTACCAATTATCATTGCCTCAAAACTAAATGTAACAACCATCACAAGTTGTTCACAAGCTAATAAAGAGAGGTACGTATTTATTTTAAAAGAAAGTTGATTTTGACTCAGCCGCAAAAAATAAAAAAGATTATGACAACAAGAAATAAGGCAACACTAAATTGTTGACCATGACCAACTAAATTTTCATGTCCCGGGCTATATTTCGGAATTAGTTTTAGGCTATCCATGATGGAGTAATATAGGTGGTAACATCACATTTATCTAGACAAATTAGATGACACGACAAGTAATTAATGATGAAAGAGAGGCATATATTAACATAGCTAGTTACTCAGGGGGTGTTTGGTTCAGAGACTTTTTAGTCCCAGATACTAGAAAAAGTCCCTAGGAACCAAATGGGAGGAACTTTTTCTACAGAGACTGGAAAAAAGACTCTACTGGAGAGTCTTTTTTGATTAGTCCCTGGGACTAGAAAAAGTCCTAGGACTTCTGAACCAAACACCCCCTCGAACTATGAGTAACATCATACATATCAAGACAAGACAAGCCTACAACCTAATAAATAAAGAGTTGCATGATGCCGCACATGTGTTACTCCCCGGCTCCCCGCTATAGAGGTAGTAACATAGACTAGTACTCCCTCCGTAAACTAATATAAGAACATTTAGATCACTACTTTAGTTATCTAAACACTCTTACATTAGTTTACAGAGGGAGTAATATATACATGTTATTAGTCTAAATTACTCCCCACTATGGATTGTCTTAGCTTACTATAGTCCTATTACTGTGAACAAATTCTCGATTCTCAGTTTTGCTGGAGATTTTTTTTCTAAATTCTCATGTTTGTACTCCATAGAAAAAGACCAGCTAAAATTTAATGGTTGATCGTCGACACGAACGAAATGTATGTATCCATAATAGGAGTATGAAATTCTACATGATTATCGAAGTAACGGTTTGATGGCCACGCAAATCGAAGAGAAATCCCGCTTGTGAGCGTTGTCCCTTTCACAGCTCCATAGGCCACCAGCATAAAGAAAAGAGAAGCGGCTCCGTGCAATCTCCGTCTCAACGAAGAAAAGGAGCGGCCGAATCTCCAGCCCCACGATCTCCCCACGCGCACCCCACCACCGACCCGTCCCCAAAAACCCTACGCCGCGCAAACCCTAGCCGCCGCCGCCGCCGCCCCAATGGCCGGCCTCCTGCGGCTCGCCGGCGCCGCCAGATCCTTCTCCCGCGCGCTGGCCCCGGCCGCGCCGCACCACCGCAGGCTCGCGGCATCGGCGGCCGCCCTGGCGGAGGACGATGCGTGCTGGACCGAGTGGGAGGAGGAGGAGGAGGAGGCGCGGCGGCAGCGCGCCCGCGCATCGGCGCCCGCCGCGGAGTCTTGCCCGGCGGACGGCGGTCCCAGGGGCGTGCAGTGGGTGGTGATGGGCCGCCCCGGCCCGCAGAAGCACGCCCACGCCGCGCGCCTCGCCGAGGTCCTCGCCGTGCCGTACATCTCCATGGGCACGCTCGTCAGGCAGGAGCTCAGCCACACATCCTCGCTCTACAAGAAGGTCCGGCCTCGTGCTCGCTCCGAATTCTCCGATTCTCATACGGGGTATTCGAATGCCTTTACTGCATTTGGTTGCAATCTGAGCTGCTATCCCTTTCCCCATCGAGCAATTTTGCGGCCACGGGTCCTCCCCGCGTTACTAACCATGATCATTTGAGTCGGATCGGCGCCAGAAATTCTGGAGATTTTTCTCGCTTTGACTAATTTTTGGCGATATCTCAAGGGGCTTCGTTAATTTGGAACATCACCACGAATCCTTTGCCTAATTGATGAAAAGCCGCTCCATTTCCCCACAGACAAATTTTACGCTTCGTGCCCAATTTCTTGGGCGCTTCTCAAAATTTCTCGTGACTTATGCACGGACTCATGTGATCTTTTTCCCCCAAGTTCTCCAAGGCCACAACTTTTCGCTGGACTAGCAAAGTTCTCCAACTTTTCCCCATATTTCCCACGAGTTATTACACAAATCAAAGAAATTTTCTTGGCCACAATTTCCTGGTCCTTATTTAAAGGCTACCATTCAAACAATATCACATGAGTATTTCCGTCCATATTTTTATGCTTAATATACTGGACCGTATGATGCTGGGAGAGGAGTGTGGCGGCCATGTCTTTCTCCGCGTCCTGCACTTGGCCCTGCATTTGCTTATGTTCACATGGTGCTGTGGGGGCAATTCGGGAATTCCACATGCGAGGGTTTTCATAAGCAAGTTTGGAACATTCAATTCTGGCATCTTGTGGAGGGCGGCCGTCTGCATATACATGCTTCCAACTTTGCCCTGCATTTGTCCGGCCCTCTTGTTCTACTTTTCTTGAACAGCTGGAGAGTAGTTGGTAGGGTTTCTTAATCGTACACAATGAGAACCATATCACAAAGGAGCCGGCTACGGCACGATGGCATGGAACGCACCGGCCGCTCTTCCTTCCACGTGAACCTGGCCCCTGTCATGGACACGATGCACGATCGTGCCAGGGAATCACGCGGCCATGAGCTTGTCGCGCTGCAAGGCCGCTAATGGAATATCCACTCATTATTTTTCTGTTTCATAAGTGGACACTATTGTATAACTATTGTACTACGAGTAGTATGTTGAAAATTAAAGCAGTTGGTTGTGATTTTGTGGGTATTCGGTTGTGCTAAATGGTTTTTGCATTGCATATTGACAGATTGCTAATTCGGTGAATGAAGGGAAGCTTGTGCCAGAGGATATCATATTTGGGTTGCTGACTAAGCGTCTCGAGGAGGGATACTGCAAGGGTGAAACTGGATTTATCCTTGACGGAATCCCACGTACCTGTATGCAAGCTGTAGGTCCCCAGTTACCTTATATGCTTGGACAAAAGAGCACTTACTGTTTTCATGTGTTTAACCAGTTAGCCTAGACGGAATCTGCCTAGACAATATAGTCCATTGATGTTTAGATGCTTCCAGTGTTCTGACTGTTCTCATATTTTAGGAGATTCTTGATGAGATCGTTGACATCGACTTGGTTCTGAACTTCAAATGTGCTGATAACTGTTTCATGAAGAAGCGATCAGGAGGTGACATATGTTCCCACTGTGGGCAGCATTTTGGTGTCAGCAGTCTGGTGTCTAGGGAGCGTAATCTCTCCCTTGGAAGCTCTACATGGCCTGCTCAGGCACAACATGCTTCTGTTATAGGCCTGGAAAACCCAAGGATGGAGAAGCTGCGTGCTTATGCTGAGCAGGTATTTTCATCTTGGCCATTTTTTTTGAATATTTATGGTTGGTTATGATAGATCTCAGCTTTGCTTTGCACTTAGGGGACCACACGAATTTCAGTTTTATCTAACCAAAACCAGTATTTTTTTATGGTATCTGAAACACAAGAAACATATTGAGGGTTTTATGCTATTACAACTGAACCTGATAGTGGGAACACATGGTTAACTATAGCAATATGATTATATGGAACATTCAATTTGCAGACCAAGCAGCTGGAAGATTACTACAAGAAGCACAGGAAACTTGTGGAGTTGAAGACATCCGCTCGCCCTGGTGAAACCTGGCAGGGGCTCGTGGCTGCCCTCCACCTCCAGCATGTAGACCCATCCCCAACACCACACAAACTCACTGTGTAATTATCATCCATTGAGTCTAAGGATCTACATTGTGATCCTCACCTGCGACAGACGTAGTATGTTTCTATGTTTTGTGAGTTCTGGCTGAGGAGTCAGTCGGCTGTGGTGCTTTGGTCTTCGGTTATAGATATAATGTAAGGCTCTGGTCTTTATTGTTATAGATAAAACGTAAGCGATTTTGTAGACCCGCTTGCTTATATGTTTGTAACGGAGAGCTTTGAACTTGCAAGTGCAAGTGTGCGGTGTGCCAGGCTCCGCTGTGCTGTTGTTTTGAGTACCAGTTTTGATCAATATATAAGTTACCGTAAATGTTGTGCGCAACTGCCATATCCTGCTATGGGCTTTTAACTTGCGAAGATGGTGTAAGGGAAAGGTAAGTGGCAAACCTGATAAGTTTTTCTCTTATTATGGAGCTCCACCGCTCACTTGCCTTTTTGATTATACCATGCCCTGTTTCATAGTCCCATGTCCTTGAAACTGCAGGTTTGTTGCACAAAGTATGACTTTATCCTGTGCTGTGTCAGTTGTCGAAGCCGCATGGGCCTAGTTGTGCACGCTGTTAAGATATTTGGATGCTTTTTTGTTTGTTTGCAAAATGTGAAGAGATTTGGGTACATATTCTAGAACCTCTCCATTTTATGCTAATGAATAGGGCTTTAATTAATTAGGAGAAGGAACTACATCCACATTGTCAAATGTTAAAGTTCACAAGATATGTGAAGAAATTTGAGGGAATGAAACCAACACAAAAACAATTAAATCTTATGGTATTTGACTAGACTGAATTATTTTCAAGCTTCCGGGCAGATGGCCATGCATATAATAGCCATGCACAATGTGGAAACAAAGGTGGAGGTGTCCACTATATCTCTACTTTTTTTTTGAGTGAACTAGAACAATGCCCGTATGTTGCAACGGGATATAAACCTTCTACTATGTCGGTTTGTGACTTACTTGTCTATAATAACGCGATTATGTAAATAAATGATCATCAAATTCTGCGCATGATTTACCTAATATTTTGATCCAAAGTTTGGTAAGTAATTAAAGTGAAACTGGTTTAGAAGGTAACTAAATTAAGTTGATTTATTATCATATAAGGAAGGTTGGACGAAGGGTGTTGGGAAGAAAGATGAAATGGGAACCTTACGTTCTTTTTAAGTAGTATAGTATATAGTATATAATATAAAAGACTATATCTATGATACCTTCTTTGCACCTTCTCTCTCTCCCTCTAGTTTTGTTTCCTTTGCACACGATCCTTTTTTTTTTGGAATAATCTAAATCAAAGCGGCACTTTTTTTTGTTGTTCTATTGATAACCATGTCTTGCATTAGCTCAATCAAATTTTACCAAAATCATGTCTTGCATTAACTCAATGAAACCAAATCAAACATCATGAAAACCTCAACTAAATAAAAACTTTGTTTGTCTTCCCCTGCCCATATCCAAATCAAATAAAATGTCACCAAAAACCTCAACTGAATCAAAACTTTCCTCGCCTCGTGTACACATACTCAAAGCAAATCAAATCTTACCAAAATCTAGAATATAATGGGTGTAAGATATATACCAGACTGCGGAACCCCTCCCTCGGTTGCAACGAACGGACAATTAGTTAGTTGAATGTTATGAGTGAGTCCATTACAAACAAGTACCTTGGTTTCCTCCTATTGTAGGGGTGGATAGACTGAACTGTTTCCAACATTTGATTGATAGAGTTTTGTGCTCGCTTGAGAGGATGGAAGGGAAATAAGTTGTCTTTTGGTGGAAAGGAGGTTTCGCTTAAGTTAGTCATCCAAAGCTTGACCATCATGCAACGTCTGTTTTCAAGCTACTCGTGCAAATATGTGAAGGGATTACTACTGCTATATCCCAATACTGATAGAGAGATGAGGATTGGAGGAAGCATATTCATTGGATTTGCATGGTGGAAGATGTGCGTCCCTAAAATTAAAGATGGCGTGGGGTTTAGAGACTTGCATTGTTTCAAAAGCAATGTTGGAGGTTACTTATGAATCCCTTTGTGCAAGAATCCTCAGAGCTTAGTACTTTCCTTCTAGCGATCTATTGAACTATGAATTGAAGAAGCACAACTCTTATACTTGGCAAAGTATATGGACATGTATGCATACCCTTAAATGAGGCCATATTTGATGGGTTGGTGATTGTATGAAGACAATATCTGGGATGACCCATGGATCCCATCCAACCCTTCGAGGATGATTATGACTTGAAGAAATAATATCGTGTTCACAAAAGTTTCTGAGCTCATGGATGAGGGTAACCGGGCGTGGGATACTGAGTTGGTAAACAATATGTTTGCCAATGTATGCTCAATGTTCCCTCTAGCTCAACACGTTAAGGAGGAATTTGTTGCGTGACAGTTCAATAAAATGGCATGTTTTTTAGTGAGCTCGGTGTACTCTTGCGAGTGGGAAAATCAAGATGGAAAGAAGCTGAGAAGAACGAATCAACTCGGTCCTTCATCTAGCCCAGTCTGGAATATCTTATGGTCTTCAAATGTTCCTGCCAAGGTTAAAATTCATTGTTGGCGATCTCTCTTGGGTGATATTCCCTGTTATGGAGTCCTAGTGAATCGACATATTCGAACAAAGGGGTGCCCATTATGCAGCATGGATCGCAAGAGTATCCGCATGCTTTTTTCCAATGCCCGCGTGTTCATGAAATTTGGCGACACTTGGGTCTCGGTCGAGCAGCCGATATTGCATATACTGAAGGGTCCTTGTTTCTTGCGGAACTTTTGCTGGATAACTCATCACCGGTGCCACTTCTCCCAAATGTTCTCCAGGCTGGTCTTATTGACAACACTGGCTGGTATGTTTGGTGGGAGCACCAGTAGGCAACTCATGGTGAGAAAGTTCAACTTCCCACCAGGTCTGCTCAACCAATATCTTCAATGGCTACAAACTTCTCGATGGCGAAGAATAAAAACAATGCTCGTGTTGTTATACATGGGTGGACACGACCGAAGATGATTGCGCGAAGCTTTATGTAGATGCGACTTTTGATATTGAGATTAAAACTGAGGGAATTGGGTCTGTTCTCAAAGATGATTGGGGCTAGTTTGTGTCTGCTTCCAACTAAACACTTGTCATTGTCAGTGACATGACGCCGACGGAGGCAATTTCTCTACGGACGACCTTTCCCTAGCAAATTCTATGGGGTGCAACATGCTGGTTGGTGAAATCTTATTGCATGAAAGGCGTGGATATCATGAAGAATGGTGGACATTCACTAGGGCCTGCCGCGATGATCTACGACAATTGTTTCTTCCTCTGTCATGAGTTTAGTGATATTTCCTTTGATTTTTGTCCCATTAAGGCCAATATGGTGGCACATGTTTTAGCTAGTAAGTCGAATAACTCTAGAGTTTGACAGGAGGAACCTCCTGTTAAACAAAAGTGCTAGAGTTATCTAACTTACTATTTCTTGTGGCTGCCATCACAAACAATGTAAGCGTTTTGCCTTATGAATAAAAAACACCATGAAGGCTTCCCCTAAAAAGGGTATCTGTCTTTAAAAGTCTAATATTTCCTGGAAGAGTGTGACACGAGCCAATGTATTCAGACTGGCTAAGTCAATTGGACTTGATTGACAACATCCCTATCTCTTTGCGCCAATAGCTTTATGTCCTCAATTTATTTTCAGATGATTCATCGTCTCTCTTTTTGGAGAGAATCACATCTTGAAATATGCGAGTATGCGGTGAACGAGTTGCAATGTCAAGTCTAGTCAAACACTACATACAAAAGTGTGTTTGGTTTCATGATAGGAAAACAAATGATTTTTTCCAAGGAGTCAACCGAGATTTTTCTTTTAAATTTATGAACAAATTTCCTATATGATTAAATCATGTGATTGAACAAAAGCTCATATGGGGATTCTTCTATGGATTTCAACTTGGCCAAAAATCTAGACAATCTTCGAGTCCAAGAATCCCTAAGACATGTATTTTGGTGTATGATTACTCATCTATGATAGGCTTGTGTTATTATGAATTTGTTATTACCTCGAATATTTAGCATGTCAACCCCGGACCATTTGGTCTCCCCATTACAATGGGTACAATGGGAAGGTACGACGTGCGTCAAAGCTATTGAAGCAACTGCTGGAATGGGCACTAGTCGGATGATCTTCGAGTCAAAACTTGCTCCAACTGGTCGATGCCTCATCATTGGTGATTATGATTAGTAATCTATAGGTCTACTCCTAAGAAAGTCGTTAGCCTTTTGTTTTTGCCTTCTTTGAATTTTTCTGTAAACGTGAGTGTAATAAGGTAGCTCATGGCGATGTTGCGTCTAGCTTTAGGGCTGACATGCTCCGCTCATGCTAGCAGGAGCAAGCTTCTAACTTTGTGCCCGACTTGGCCATCGGCGAGTTGGTCATTGATGTCTACTACACAACCTTCTTCTTATAGACGTTGTTGGGCCTCCAAGTGCAGAGGTTTGTAGGACAGTAGCAAATTTCCCTCAAGTGGATGACCTAAGGTTTATCAATCCGTAGGAGGCGTAGGATGAAGATGATCTCTCTCAAGCAACCCTGCAACCAAATAACAAAGAGTCTCTTGTGTCCCCAACACACCCAATACAATGGTAAATTGTATAGGTGCACTAGTTCGGCGAAGAGATGGTGATACAAGTGGTATATGGATAGTAGGTAAAGGTTTTTGTAATATGAAAATATAAAAACAGCAAAACTAATGATAAAAGTGAGCGTAAATGGTATTGCAATGATAGGAAACAAGGCCTAGGGTTCATACTTTCACTAGTGCAAGTCCTCTCAACAATACTAACATAATAGGATCACATAACTATCCCTCAACATGCAACAAAGAGTCATTCCAAAGTCACTAATAGCGGAGAACGAACGAAGAGATTATGGTAGGGTACGAAACCACCTCAAAGTTATTCTTTCCAATCAATCCGTTGGGCTATTCCTATAAGTGTCACAAACAGCCCTAGAGTTCGTACTAGAAT